CAGTTGCAAGGATTCACTTGAGACTAGACAACACTAAAACAGAAACATTTTAGGAAGAAAAACTTGGATATAAATATTCCTGAGAAAACCATATCTCTGAGAAGGAATCCCATCAAGTATATACTCTGAAAATCACAGTGGGTGAGAAGAGAACTATAATGTTGAACAAAGGCAGCTCTGTAGTTATACACACTCCCTTAAACATTTCTTTACATTGTGCACTTTGGGTGCAAAGAAGGGTCCTTAATGGCTAGACTGCAATAATGATCTGCTGAATTCCGCAAACAGTGGACATTTAAGTATATGTCTGATCAAAAAGCATACAGTATACTAAATTACTTAAAGTGGTTCCATCCAAAAGAAATTGAAGTAGAAGGCAAACAGGATGAATACAGCATTCCATACAGAGAGTCTGCTGTGTTACTACAGTTACAGGAAGGAAATGACTCCTGGCTCTCCATCTGTTAAATATACCAGGCAAAGCACCCCGTTTGAAGTATCTATTAACCTCTTGACCTCTCCAGTTAGGATTGTCATTTGCTCAAAATATGGTACACTCAGGATTTGGGCCTATCTGTAAAACCCAAAACATAAGAAGTGCTTTAATGTTTATTCTGCATTACCAAAATAGGGGAATAAATCTTCTGAAATTCAGAAATGAGAGAAAGGCAAGAGTCTACTGCATCTTTAGAAATATGAGAACATAAAAATGAATGCAATCAAGAGGAGGCCCTCCAACATATCATCCCTCTATTAATTATAATCGATCTGAGCACCCCATTTTACTGTTTCTTCAAGGAAGCCAGGATAGCTTCAACATCATGGCTGGGTAGCTTGTTCCAGATCCCCACAATCTTTAAACAATAAGACTTACATATAATGTCATACCTTATACAGTATGCAGGGAAAAGGATAAGGTACATTATTTAGTTCTGAATGTGGAAAGACCGTTGTTGGTGGCAATTACAAACTGCAAACTGACAAAAGCACAATGAAATAGGCACCAGATCTCCTCTAGCAAGTGATACTTTATTTAATGGCTTTGTGCCCACTTTAGGAGACAACTGTTGTGTCAAATGTTTTATAGGAGACATTTTAAAATAACATGGGAGAGAAATGCTTAAAGGGAAAGTCTGAGCTGAGAGCTACATTAGCATGCAAACATTAAAGAAAGAACCAAAAGATAATTATCCGATAAAGTGTAGAAAAACAACATTCTGGCTGTGGAGATTTCTGAGAAGGCCCTTCACCTGATGAAAGCTCCACAGTTCAAAATATTTTTTTCTCCTTTTGACTTTTCCTCATGCAATTAACCTCTATTTGTTCCTTTATAATGACAGTGGAGAGTAAACCACCATTAAATTTGACTCTTGTGATGTATTCTTGACTAATGAATTAATTAATGAGAGATTACACATAATGCAAGAAGGAACACAGTGAAGTTATCGATTACTATGAGGGACTGCATTAAGCAAGAGGGTTTTTGTGGGAATACAATGTTTCTGCAAAATCCAGACCTTTTTCAACCAGTTTGCTTTTACACCTACAGTGGTGAGAAAAATTTGGAATTATCTGTAATCCTGCAGTAATTGCTCCCAAAATGTGACCTGATCTTCATGTCTGTCATTTTAATAGATAACAAACTGATTAAAGAAATAACACACAAACAACTGCACTTTTTCATGTCTATATTAACCACATTATTTAAACTTTCACTGTTTATGCTAGAAAAAGTAAGTGAACCTTCACATTTAAAAACCAGTGGAACCTCCTTTAGCAGCAATAACCCCAACCAAGTGTTTCCCGTAGCTGCTGTTTAGTCCTGCACATCAGTTCCGGCCCTTTCCTCTTTACAGAACTGTTCCAATTCACGGATATGTTGGGGATGTCCAGCATGAATGTCTTGCTTTAGAAGTTCCAACTGGCTATTTCCTCTGTTTAAGTCATTCTGTGGTAGATTTACTCCCGCGTTCAGGATCATAGTTGTGTTGCATGACCCAGTTTCTATTAAGCTTCAGATCGCGGATACATACCCTGACATGCTCTTGTAGAAGTTGCTGATATAATCTTCTCCAAACCATGATGCTCCCTCCACCATGCTTCACAGTTAGGATGAGGCTTTAATGTTAGTATACATTTTTTTCCCTCCAAACATAACATCGCTGATTTATTCCACCTCTGTCTCATCTGTCCACTGAACATTGTTCCAGTAGCCCTGTGGAACATGCAGGTGGTCTTTCGCAAACTTTGCAGACAGGCAGCAATGTTTTCTTCGAGAGCAGTGGCTTCCTCCCTGGTATCCTCCCACGCACACCACGCTTGTTCAGCGGTTTTCTTATTGTAGACTCACGATCACAGACATTAGCCAGAGCAAGAGATGCCTAGAGATCCTTAGCTGTTATCGTTGGGATCTTTGTTACTTCTTGAGCACTGTACAGCTCACTCTTACAGTGATTGTTGTTGGACAACCATTGCTAGGGAGAGTAGCAATAGTAGAGAGTTTCTTCCATTTGTGCACTATCTGCCTGACTATGGACTGATGGAGGCCTAAGTCTTTAGAAATGCTTTTGCAACCCTTTTCAACCTTATGAGCACCGACAGCTCTTCTTCTGATGTCCTCTGAAACCTCCTTTGATGGAGGCATATTTCACTTCAAACCTGTGTTGTGAAGAGCAGACTCT